CAGAAGTTTGGATACCTCGTTCTTGATAAATGCATTTTCGATCCCGGACTGTAGCCTTACTCTTCTGTTTAACCGGATGAAACTTCGGATCCAAACTCAACCTGTGAGTGGTTACCTTCGGTGGGGTCCCTGTCATGTCTAGGTGGGGCCAGGAAAAACAATCGATATTAGCTTTAAGAAAATCAATAAGCTTTTTCCTGAGATCGAGGGTTAACCCCGTGTCCAGGTATACCTTTCGATCCGGTAGGTGCTCGATCAATATAACTTGCTCCAACTCCTCGATTGTTGATTTGGTAGCGTCGGTGTCATCGAGTGCTATGAATGATCTCGGGACACTGTAGTCTTCCTCATCATCCGCTCCGTGCTTCTTCTGTTCTTCTGGCCCGGCTGAGGCTGGTATCATGGACTGCTATTTAGTTACCTATTTTTTGGTCGATTACGTGCCCTTTGAAATCACGGGCACCGGGATCACTTCATCGACATCAAACATTTCTCTTACGACTGGCTATTCTCTGTAGACCATTTTGACTCCTCCTGGTGTTAGAAATTTCAACGCCTAGTGTAAGGTTGAAGGCACCGCCCTCATGTTGACCTTTCGAACAAAGCATTGTACCTCATGTCCTCTTCGATCACATAGAACTTTATTTCTTGAGTGGTCCCAGCAGTGTTTACCGGTAAGGTTATCTCACCTTTCGTGGTCTTGCACGCCATGTTAAATCCATTCAATACTCAGACCGCTGGTATAATTTGATCCTGTAATCTAGTTGCTCTACGACCCTTGATCTGATGATGTTGGCCGAGCTACCTGGACTAATCAACACACGCTTAACCCGAGATTTATTAATAAGTACAGATATTATAAGATTTTATCATCGGCCCTTGGGGGACATCGACTCCCCCAATGATCATGTTGGTTACGTGTTGAGGATCCTCTTGTTCGACTTGTTTGTTGGTGTCCCTCTTTCTGAAATAGTTCTTAGCTTGCTCGCTTAGGAATTCTCGAAGGTGCCTATTGTTGAACAATCGAGTAACTTCTTCTCTTAACTGTCGGCAATCTTCGGTTTGATAACCGTGGTACTTACACATAAAAATAGGATCTCTTTGGGCAGGGTCAGATTGCAACAGTCGAGGCCACTTGGTCTCTTTGATGCGCCCTATGGCTGATGTAACCTAATTTTCGAATCAGTAATTGTGACTTAAACATTAGTTCAACAAACCAAATTTATTTGGATTGTGAAAATTAGATTTTTAAGATAGTCCACCATTGTTGAACACACTTTTACCTAATACTAATTTATCATAGAACAACTACTTAGATGCTAACAAAAATTTTGCAGTTGAAAAAACAAAAAATATGAAAAGATAACATGTAGTATGACAAAGATTATTTAAAAATATATATAAACTTGATATTTGACTCAAATATTACAAAGATAATAAATGGGAAAAAAAGGTCAGAATCAGAAAAGTACTTTGATGACTGCTATCGAAGATTGTGATCAAAACTAATACGGATAGTTTGTTACTTATTGCGGTTTCAATCTAAATTCACCCGAGGGTACAAGACAAAAAAAAAATTGTTGCTTTATAGTTTAAAATTCGATTCGGTTTGATAATATTTTGAATTTTCTTTATAGAATTTAAAATTCATCCTAATTATTCAATACAGTTATAAACTTATTAATAATTGATTTAGTAAGTTCAATTCAGTTTGATATAATCGATTTTCGAATAATTATTGACATATCTAGTGTTAGGCTCAGGCCCAAGTGTCTCGTAACGCTTATAAGATAAGTTCACAGTACAGATAGATAAGATTCACATGCCATCCAAATAAAGATAAGATCTTGGTTAATGGTTATGACTTGTGACACATTCTCAGTCAATAAAGTAAGTGGAGACGGGCAGAAATTAACAAAAACCGTTTAGCAAGGAAGCATCGAGCTGCTTTTGAAAAATATTGTTAGATTCTCACGAATGGGGACAAGAATCTACTTTAGCATGTTACCTAAGCCTAGACAAAAGCATCAAGCCATTGATCAAAAAATGACTCGTGTAAAGGGCCATTTTTAGTTTGTTTCTCATGGCTGGAGCTTGAAAGTAGAAACCAAAACTGTGTTCAAGATACAATGCAAAGCGGATACGCATGCAGATCACTTTTTTGGTCTTTATTTGTTGGGGTTTTAAGCTTATTTTCACATTAGTTTAAAAGATTGGAAAGAAGGTTAGGCCTTGCACCAAATATATTAAATTATTCACTATTAATTATGAGTGTGCTTATAGTAGTACTATTCATGTAAACTTTAAATATGTATATTCTTTTTCGAAACACTTGAAAGTCTAACTTGAATTTATACAAAATTAGATGTTTTCACTCTTGTACTTTGAACGCGGAAGTAAATTGTCATGATACATCAGTTAACTATTCAATACAGAGTACGATTTCAAGTGTAGATAGTAAAAGTGAGGTACCCCGTCTCCTCAAGAAAATGCTCTTAAGAACCCTGTGAGATTAACGGAGAAATCATTTACACGACAAGTTGCCCGTCTAGCTCAGTTGGTAGAGCGCAAGGCTCTTAACCTTGTTGTCGTGGGTTCGAACCCCACGGTGGGCGAAGTTTTTCTAATGTTGTTTTTTCCTTACACTTTTCTCAGAGTTTGGAAGTCAATTTAAGAGGCATCTTTCCAAGTCAGATATTTGGATTTAGGAGTCAGCAAAAGAAGAGAATAATGACAGCTGATGGGGTTGAAGCAGACACCCACCCCACTCTTTTTGTCCTTTAATGCCTGAGGTGAATAATTTCCATTCCTCCCCTCCTCCCTACACGACAGCAAGTACTGGCCATCTCTATTAAAACTCAGACCCGTCCTTGTCTGCTACCTTCATTCTCACACTTATGCCCCAAAACCTTAAAAATCTTTCTTTTATACATTTTACCCGCATAAGAGCCTAACTAATTCAAATTCTTGGCCCATTAAAAGGGAAAATATTCTTTACCGAAATTTTTATGATTTAATCATACCAAGAGCTCGAAAGGGGACGTATGATTAAGGAACAGCTACTATACATGATTTCAGTTGGGCACGAACAAATTGCGGTATTGTCAACTAGAAAAAAATATATCTAGTGCCTATTGTTTTTTTGTGGGAGAAGCATGTAGCTTTCTATAATTTGTATAAGATCTAGAAATGAGGTCGGTATAATTATATTAAATATCTAGAAGAAGATATATTTGCATTAATTGAATTTCAAACTACACTTTTATTCATTACCCAGTCACCCTTCTCATTCCTTTTCTGAGCTACTAAATTTACTGCCACTGCTTTAAAGCTTTTCCCTACTCTTGTGTGCTAGAATTGTTTTCTGGTAATATCTACAGTCTTTTATAGATCTGAGGTAACAAGTTAAGCCCAAACTTGAAAAATTCCTACCTCTGTCTACCAATCCGAAAACCGAAAAAAAAAAAAAGAAAAAGAAAAGGACAACCTACATTGATCAGAGGACAACTGTGGAGAGTAATTGGAGTTGGTCTGGTAGAGACAAATGATAATAATAATAATAATAATAATAATAATAATAATAATAATAATAATAATAATAATAATAATAATAATAATATAAATCTGACATTCTTCTCATAAGTAAATCTGCAACAAATAAAGCAAAACCTAACCTTTTGAATGGTTATTGAGTTATACCTCTTTTATTCAATCAGTTCACAGTTTTTAATTTTTACAAGTCATTTGTTTTTCTTTCTTTTTATATTAAAGAAATGGAGATCTAAAATCTAATCCGTGATACAACTACTAATAAATTCCCAGCATATTTTACTATTTTTTATGCACTTTCAAATTAAATTAGAGAGGATGCGAGAACTAACCGGATCAGCAATCCTTAGGAGACACTGCGTGCAACCTTTTCCATATAATATCATCAACAATCAATATCCGCTCTAATGTTTTTAGTGCCAAAATTTTCAGTTTTTTCTCAATATCCGTCTTTCTAACTCGGGAATATGCATTTGAGTTGATATAATAAAGATGCACCCGGACATAATAGGGACAATATTAGTATTTTGCTCAAAAAAAAGAAGACAATATTAGTACTATACTTAAGTACTAGGAGACACTTGGATTCGAACTTAATTATGCCAAACCTTTTTATCACAAAACTATATAAATGGCTACTCTTTCGGCTCTTGTGTACTAACTACTTACTGAAATCTTTACACAAAATATGAACCTTAATCATAAAAATTAGCCTAAATTAAAGTTAAGGATGCATTTGCTATTTTAGTATACTAGTAGTAGTTATACTTTTGGCCATTTGGCTGATCAAAGAAAAAGCAAAACATTCTATGAATCAAACATTGGGCTTTCTCAACAAAATTTGATAAGCATTCTTCTAATCAGTCGCCTCACGGCTTTGATTTAATTTTCTTAGACGCATTAAGTTCAAATTCGGTCATAGATAAAATTAAAGTTTGATATTTAAATTAAGAAAATAAAGAACAAATTCATTATTCATCGAAGTTTCTAATCGTATTACCAAGGTAAGCTACACTATGTAGCAATTTCTCAATAATGAAATAAAAGTGTATTCTTCCAAGTCAGTCATTTCTATAGTAGTAGCATTTCTTGTACCACAATTAAATAAACTTGTCTTCGTCAAAGCTTGACTTACACTTATAATTTAAGCGAGTTATACAATATAGTTTATATTATCTAATCAATTTTCAAATACCTAGAGATACGAGCAATCTTCTGCAGATTACTTCACGTTACCTCTGAGATCATATGGTTTATCTGTAAAAATTAAAAATTGATGAAACAAAAACAGAGTACCACTAAAAAAGAAAAACACCATTTACTACTCTTATTAAGACTTAAATGGTGCAGAAAAAAGAAATCCTTACCTAAGGAAATGGATAAGACATGCTTGGCCTGTAGCGGAAATTACTGTAAAAGTTTTCATTCGAATTCACGTCAGAAAATCTATCAAATCTAATATCGGAGTATAGTTTCCTCCCTCCATTGCAAATCCACTAGAAGGAAAAAAGATGGTAATTTCTACTACTTACAGTTTATATTACGATCAATCTTTAATCAACAAGAAAATAAAGCCGTGTTAATCTAATTACTGAAAGAAAATAATAAAGTTGCTAGAGATAAAAATTAAACTCAAAAAAGAACAACGTAAAACGAAGCTTCTGGAGCACAAATACTGACACGGCCGAGTCAAACAGCTGAGTCAAATTGGAGAGAGGCACGACACAGAGGGCAACTCGATTGATTTCTAAGCCATTTATCAACACACTCCGAATGATAACAATGTTGACAACTAGGCAAAACTTTTACCTTATCACCATCTTGAAAAATTCCCAAGCAAATACAACACTCAACTTCCGCGGCGGTATTACCTCTACACTCCGAACTTCTGTGTAATATAATCGGCAAATTGTCAATAAAAGCCGGGTCAAGACCTTGTGGTGGTGGAGGAACCGATGGCGCGTGAGCAGAACGAGCAGCTTCCGCGCTTGAGGGAGAACGGAATTTGCAGACCCAGCGAGCGTAAAGGAAAAGAAGAGTAGCTATAAGAATGATAGCAAAGAGGACGACGACGAAGAAGAGTGTACGGCCGCGGATTTGGAAATCGTTATCGTCGAACTCGGCGTAGTGCCAATGGAAGGAGTGAGAATTTTGTGATGACACGGCGGACTGAGGCGAGTTTAAAGAGGAAGAATCGGAAGCGAGATTATTGGAAGACATGGGATTGGATCTGAAGGCCTCTGTGTTTTTTCTTCACTTACATAAGTAGTTTTGTAGATGACATGGAATGGTAGGTTCATAATTGTAAGAAAGAGCGAATTAAATACTCTCATCTCTAGCGCGTGAAATGCATGGGTCTTACCCTCCGTTCCAAGTTTACGTGAACCTATTTCCTTTTCCGTTCCAAAGAGAATAATTTCTTTCTAAATTTAGAAATAATTTAGCTTAAATTTTCAATTCTACCCGTAATGAGAAGCTTTTATAACCATATAAATACTCTTGACCCTTTTTGACTTGTTTAGGACCACAAATTCAAAAAGTCTTCATTTTTTCTTATATTATGTGCCTATAAAACAGGTTCACATAAATTGCAACGGAGGGAGTAGTAATTATTAGAGCCGTCAATATGGGCTTGGCCCGTTGGGCCAGCCCAGCCCATCCCGTGATTTAGCAGGGCTGGGCTAGAGTTTTTGGAGCCCATTTAAAAACGAGGCTTTTAAGCCCGGCCCGTGGCCCGTGAGGCTTGACTGAGGTTGGGCTGGGCCGGGCCGTGGGCTTAATTAAAATACATATTTAAAATAACAAGAAGAGTATCCCAAGCTTAAAGCTTATTAAGCTCATCATATTAAAAGATCAAGCTCTTAAAACGTTAATTAGTTTTAAAAATTTAATTATTCTTAATATTTAACTAATTAATATTGCATACGAATTGTAGATGTAGGAGAAAGTGAAGATGTTAAGACAACCTTCTTACAAGCGGATTCAAATGTGTTTGATAAAGATGATGTGTTAGATATCCCATAAGCGTCATGGGCGTTCTCGTGAATAGTTTATTTTGAGTTTTGACTTTTAGTGAATGAAATATAGTCTTGTCTTTTACTTTTTTAGTGTTTATTATGATATATTAGAACCGTATAGAAATTTATTAAGTTTTGTGAAATTTTTCCAATAAGATTTTTTTTTAACTTTCAAATATTTATCTTTTTTTAGTTTAGAACTTAAAGAAAAAATATAAAATTATATTTTAAAAAATGATGGGCCGGCCCGTGGGGGCCCGTAGCCCTCATAGGGCTGGGGTGGGATAATCATTATAAGGCCCATAAAAATGGTGGGCTAGCCCAGCCCAGCCCGTCAATTGCTAAAGCCCACGTGGGCTGGGCTGGGCTAGCCCGGCCCCACCCATATTGACAGCTCTAGTAATTGTGAAAAGTGAAACTATTTACCTTATAGGAAGTCATTGTTTGGCAGAAGTTGGAATATTGGAATTATTAAAGAAAAGAGGGTTGTTTTCCTTTTTCTTTTTATACTATAGATATGGATAATACAGTAGCTTAGTTTATTCAATACTCCATTGTTCTTTGGAAAATTACAGAGACGACATAGATGTTGGGATTTCTTAACTTTTAATCAAAGATTTCGAGTTACCTTCTTGAAAAAACTGGGAATTTCATAGTAAGAAGTAGCTTACCTTTTTTTTGTGAGCCTATCCGATATGATTCCAAAGTAGTCGAACTAGTGAAATTCGAATATCAAGTGGTTACAGAAGACCTATATGGATGGTAAGCATTTAATAAATTAATTTTGCTCAGTTCTTTATACAGTCAAACATCTCTATAGCATCCTTGTTTGTTCCGAATATTTTTGGATGTTATAACAAAGTGCTGTTATAGAGAACATATTTTACAACATAATATGAAAATTAGTTCCGTAAAAAATTTGATTTTTATAGTGAAATGTTGTTATACATGGATGATGTTATAGAGAGGTCTGACTTTAGGCCGTAAGCATTTAATAAATTAATTTTGCTCAGCTCTTTTCTAATCAATTGTTGTCAATTTTCTCATTTCCTTGTGTAAAAAACGTAACCTACGTGACATCTTATTGACCTCCTTTTGTCTCATACATTGTGAGCGTATCTTGGAAAAGAAATAGAACTACGTACGTTTAATTAAGTTTATTTTCTTCTACTTTCTCAAGCAAGTGCGTATTACTATACTCATAAAGTATTTTACGGTATTCTGAGAGCGTTCACCCCTGACGAAAGTGAAATTAGCGTTGCTTAGATCAAATATCTTGGTTACTTAATTGGACTCAACAAACAAATTATTCGAGGTAATTTAAGACAAAGGAATAGTTTTTTATTGCTTTTTAATTCTATAGTTGTTATTGTTAGTTGTACAGAATAGAATCTCATGATTGAAACTTATTTCAATATCTTCTATTACTCTTAAAGTAGTCGCACAAACTGTATTAATTAATCTGTTTTGTTAAATAGTTTTGATACCTACCTATACATGAATTGTCTAAGATTTGTTCAATATTCTTTCACGTTCCAGCACAAGCTGATCCAAGATTTCAAGAAGATGGATATACTATTACAAAAAAGTATATCAAGACTTATTTGATGAGTTCAATCTTAGATTCTTACTATGAAACATTACACTTATAAAATTATGGGTTCAAATTAATATTTTTATTTTGCAAATTTAGTAATTTCCTCATACATACCTAACTCCATGTCGAAAATATTGAGATCAACTAACTATATGCCACATCGTCCACTGCTACTAGTATTGATATAGATATTTGATTTAATTATATAAAAGATGGTTACAAAAGGAAAATAGAAATTTCAATCGGTCAAACTTCACTTCGATTTTCTAAATATATTTTTTTCAAATGTTTTTTTTTTTATAAAACTGACCGATTTAGGTCGAATTGTTTTAGCGCCAAAATGGGAGAAATTATTTTTGCGTCCCAGAAAATTTATTCTTTTTATAAACTGACCAACTTCAATCGATTTTTTATTTAAAATATATTAAAATTAATATTCAAAAAATTGACCAAAATCGATCGACTATTTTGATCGATCATTTAAAAAAAATGACCAATTTCAGCGATAATTTATTATTATTTAAAAACTACCAAAATCGGTTGGTGTATATATATATATATATATATATATATATATATATATATATATATATATATATATATATATATATA